AAACTGGTGTCTCACCTCTCCCGTAGGTGCCTGTGTAAAGTGAAGGAGAACACACACTCCCTCTGGGCCTGGCTGAACCAGCCCGGGGAGAAGAAGAAGTACCTGAACCCGCTCTACTCACACAACGCCTTGGTGATCTGGCCCTCCGTCGAGCCCCAGAGCATCCAGCTCTGGCAGGGTAAGGCAGACTGGGCGCTCTCAAAACCATCTGTGGGTGAGGGAAAAGCTTTTCCCTCTTGCCAGGGCCACAGCACGTGTGTGAAATAACACACGCTCCCCCCCCTTCCCTCCTAGGTTTATTCTTCCGGTGGATCCGTTCATCCCAGTACCTGGATGAGGCTTGGGAAGAGATCCAGCGGTTAGTGGAAGGCAACGAGAACCCCGACAAGCAAAGCACAGCCAACAGGCTGAGCCAGTCCCTCTCTGACCCCGCTGCCCGGACAGAGAACGAAAGATGAACGGCAGCGCGGACGATTTGGTCCCTGCGGGCTGCCAGGCCCCAGTGCAGCCACAGCCTGCGCAGGACACAGGCCCTGTGGAGCCGGGAGGAGAGCTCTGGGAGGGGGGAACAAGCTCCCTTTCACTGTGCTGCTGAGTTTGCTTCAGTAAAGTGCTCTCTCTCACGGCCCACGGCTGCTTTTCTGCTCTGACATAGTGGCAGGAGCAGCCCCGCTCCCTTCCCAAGTGAGATTTCAGCTGGGCTCATATCTGGAGCAGAAGGTTGATGTCCCCAGCAGCATCGGCCTCCGGCATCGCCCATCCTGGCCTGTCTGGCCCCTGCCCAGCAAAAACCGAGCACACTAAACCCATGACACCCTCTCCACGAAGGGCACGTGTTGCGTCAATGGCTCCAAGCTGGGAGCCAGCCCGAGAAATCTGCCCTTGAACCCAGTTTTGAGGAAGGAAAGAGATACAAACCACCCCTCCAGGCAGGCAGACACAGGGCGAGCGGGCTGGAAGGATGAAGACTCGCAACCCAAGCGTATTAGCGCAGGAAATAACTGTTCCATGAGGAAAGTTGGCTCAGGGTCAGCCTCAGCAAATAAACAAAGCACCAGAACCG